GGGTGTCTCTTACCCCTCGGTGAGTGGAGCTGCCCCTGTCCTCCGCCCTCTCCAGGCCACAGGCAGTACAGCAGCACAGCCAGCTCCAGTGCGGCCCGCATCCCCGCGGCTCCTGCACGCTCTGTCTCTCCCGGAAACCTGGGAACGGAGAAGGTGAGAGCAAGCTGCTGAGAGACAGGTCACCCCTCGCATTTTTATCCCCTGCGGGGCTGGAGGGCGGAGATTAACCCTTTCCTTGCCTCCTTCCGAAGAGCTCCAGCCCTCCGCTCGGCGCGTCCGGGGTTACACAGGGGGCAGTTCGCCTCTTATGTGGAATTTTTTTCTATAAATAGTGGTTATCCCAGAATCGGGGAAAGAGTATTTTCCAGCACGGGCCGGAGGGGAAAATGTAATCCCTCTGTAAATTGCTTAAAGCTGTTCCCCTGTGGAGACTGGACTTGATTAGTCCAGAGTGCCGCTCGGAGCAGGCAGGCAGGAGGAAGGAGAGGGAGGTCCTGCGTGTGCCTCGGGCAGAGCGCATCTCCTCGCGAAGGGTTAAGGCTCAAGGCTCCAGGACCTGGGAAGGGGAGGGGGATTCATTTAATTTTTTAAAATCTAAGTGGAATCCAGATGTTACTTTAGTGGAAATTCCTAGACTGACAGAGACACACTACACCAGCATGTCCATAAATTAAGGGGATTTGGGGGAATGTGTTTTCTTTTTACATAATCCTGAAGGAGGAAAACGCAGGAGAGGGGGGGAGCTGGTGTTGCCCGCCGAAATGAGCTGTGAGGTCGCAGCGTCACCCCTCTTGTGCTGTCTGGGCAGCTGGGGTTCTGTGGAGTTCTAGTCAGTGTCCAGATTCAGAGTCCAGAGGAGCCTTGGACAGCCGTAGAGAGGGTCTGGGATTAGACAAGCATTCTTCCCAATCAAATCTAATCCCAGAAATTCCACACCTGTCAGAAGCAGAACATCTTCCAATCCTGCTGGGGGAGGAATCTCAATGGAGCTGCAGCCCAGTATGTGATGTCTTGTCACAGACACAGGAACAAACAGTGAGCCTGTTGGTAAAGAATAAGAATAATATAGTGTGTGATCTCCTGTCCCACTCTGAGGAACAGACAGTGATCCTATCTCTCAGTAATAATAATACAGTGTGTGATCTCCTGTGCCAGCCTGAGGAACAGACAGTGATCCTGTCTCGCAGTAATAATAAAAATAATACAGTATGTGATCTGTCCCAGCCTGAGAAACAGACAGTGATAGGTCATAGGTCAGGGGTGATGAGAGAAAGGACAGATTGTCGAGGTCAGGTGGTTACCTGAGATAGGATGGAGTACAGAGGTCAGGGGATGACTGGAGAGAGGATGGGGTACAGAGGTCAGCTGGTGACTGGAGAGACAGTGGGGTACAAAGGTCAGGGGATTATAGAGAGAGGGTGAGGTGCAGGGGTCAGTGGGTAACTGGAGAGAGGGTGGGGTGCAGAGGTCAGGGAGTGACTGGAGTGAGAGGGTGGGGTACAGAGGTCAGGGGGTGACTGGAGAGATGGTAGGGTACAGAGGTCATGGGGTGACTAGAGAGATGGTGGGGTGCAGAGGTCAGGGAGTGACTGGAGTGAGAGGGTGGGGTACAGAGGTCGGGGGGTGACTGGAGAGAGAGAGTGCGGTACAGAGGTCGGGGGGTGACTGGAGAGAGGATGGGGTACAGAGGTCAGGGGACAGAGACTGGAGACTGGAGAGGGAGGGTGAGAAAGGAACGGTCAGTATGTCTTGTGGAGACTCTTCTCTCTCTGCGCTGTGTGGATCATGTTTCAGGAAGGCTTCGCAGAAGCCCATCCATCCTGGAGCCTGGGGCAGGTTTTCCACTCTGGATGCAGACTGGGATTCACCGTGCACCTGCACCAGGTGAGCCAGTGGAAGGAATGCTGCTGTCGGAATATCCCATCTGTCAGGCTCTAATCCCAGGACAAAGGGAGGCGTGACAGGGCAGTAGCTTGGCCACATTCCTTCCACTGCCTCCGAAGAGATGAGAGAGGAGAGGGAAGGGAGAGGAGAGAGAGAAGGAGAGAAGAGGGTAAAGCAGACAGAGAAGGGCAGAGGGAGAAGTAAAGAGAAGGACAGAGAGAAGAGGGACTCCACCTGAGGAACAGACAGTGACCCTGTCTCAGTAATAATAATAATAATAATAATAATAATAAT